TTACACCCAGCAGCAATTTGGAGGAACGTGGAACCACCTCTTAATTACTGTTGTTCCCAGGTGCACCTTTAATCGGGGTTGTAGCACCTGTTAGGGTCTCAGCTATGGCTTAATAGTGAATACTGTGGAAGTATAAAAATACATTTTTATATATAAAAAAATTATTAACAATATCTTTTTATATTAAAATTACCAACAATGCACGAGTTAACATGAAAGAACCCTTCATGACATTAATCCTTATATTCTACAATTTTTTAAAGAAATCAAACCGTATTCCAAAATATAACTTCAACAAAAGTACAACATAAAACACATATTACTGCGTCTAATAATTATATGCACAAAAGATGAGCTATTAACTACCATGCATTCAATTGTGAAAGCAAGGTTCTTGATAAAATCCAGAGACGGATATGCAACGTAATTGGCGCTGATCTGGCATCTCGTCTGCAGTCGCTCTCTCACAGACGTGCCGTCGCCTCCCTCTTTTTTTTTTTACAAATACTTTCATGGTAACTTCTCCGATGAGCTGCTTTCGCTGGCTTCCAGACTTCATGAATTTAAGCGCCCTACGAGGCTGGCATCTCGCTCCCACTCTTTCACTGTCGAAACTGTTAAATGAAGCCGTCTCTTCTACTCCAATAGCTTCATGTCACGCACCTCTCACCTGTGGAACTCGCTCCCCTTTTCCTGTTTCCCTGATAGCTATAATCTCCAACTATTCAAATGTAATGTCAATCGACATCTCCAGATGCCTTGATCTATCCCCTATCCTTCTCTTCATCCCTTCCTCTATCACTCCTATTTGCTCTAGCTCCAACTCTCTGTAACCCCTTGTGTGCTAGTGGCTTCCCGCCTTGATTGGGGTGAAACGCTTATAAAAAAAAAAGAATAACATACATTTGTTACTTCAAATCTCCGAAGATAATAAAATTTCAGAATTAAATGTAACATAAGGAGTTGATATGCCGTTAAACAAACAAATGGATCAATTAATCCAGTTCTAAACTGAAATGTTGGGCCCTCATATATTAGTATCGACCAAAGCACACTATAGCAATGTATAAAGTTTAAAATTACTAGGTGAAAACTAGAGTTTGAATAAGCATTTTCCTGCCAACCATCTATTCCATAAAATCTTCAATAAAATGCAGTAAAAATGAGCTGTAACAGAATGCCTAAAATAGAATGCATTATCAATGGGCGCAATCTGAAGAGGGTTGGCAAAGGACGGACGAATTGCTTATGCAAGCCAAAGGCCAACATGCAGCTAGTAGATGAAAAAAATCCTACGATTCTAATATCTGGCAATGACCCAGAGTGCACCAGTACAGGAAATAGTGATATGACAGCGAGAGTGTACAATACAGGACAAAGGCAGTTTCCGAATTAGTTGTTTCAGCAAATTTTTAAAATTTGTACTTATTTTTTTTATTTCTCCGACTACTTTCGAATGTTGCTACATTTGCTCTCAAGGATTGTGTTTAACGTATGTTTATGTAATTGTTTTTGGTTAATTCCGACATTCTCACGTTTGCTGGAACCAATTTCAAGTCACTCAAGGTAACGTTATTTAAACGCTCAAACGGAAATTTTTATGGGTATTTTTTTTAAAAAAAAAACCCCAAAAAACTTCTCTAATAAAAAAGAAACACATACACATAAAAATTGCATACTAAAAGCCTGCGATTGTAGCTTCATCTGATATGTGTCACACAGTGCACCAGTAGAGGACAGGGTGCTATGATGGCGGGAAAGTGCAGTGCAAGACACAGGCAACTGATAGCATTAAACAATTCACTTGAGCAGTTCGCTCAGTAAAAATTTAGAATTTGGAATTAATAGATTTGACGTATAATTCATCATTATTTATTATTACATGAAACGTTCGTTGCTATGTATTTGAGTAGACATTCCACATTTTTTAAACACTAAAATATACACCTACCGTCCTGTGCATTCGAGAGTCTTAATAAAGACCCTTCCGACAATGTTCGAACTTACACACCCTTTATAAGGAAAGCCGCCGTCAGTTGATGATGTAAACAGAGTAAAGAGATGTTTCAGTAAAGTTAATGTCAGTACTAGAGAGATAAGAAAAAATGACCTAAATGACAGGCGTTGCAGTGGCAGGCCAGCTGCTGATGGTCAAAGGAAGAATCTCTATTGTAAAACATTGAGAAAGTCTTCAGACGATCTTTGGTAGTACCGATAGATTAATACAGTCTCTTGGTTACTCAAAGTCTAAGACAGCTCTACAGAATGTTTGCAGATCACATGAGAGGGCAGAGTGGTTTAATCTGAAGGAAACACTCGGAGAACAGCGATACTCCACCGATGTTAGGTGAAAGTAGAAACTCATATATGGCTTTGAATGTATACATGATGGATACACATTCCTTCATTCAAAGATGAAATACCACAATTGAAAAGGAAGAAGACTGTGTGGCGAACAAGACAGACTTTTGTCTTCATTTTGCTGTTTATGTACTTCTACGATGAAAACTGTTGCGATTAATAAGCGTTACCTTTTGACCGACCATATATATATATATATATATATATATATATATATATATATATATATATATATAGTCATCCAGAGACAGACTGTTTCGCTGTATCATAATTTATCAATGTGGCTAGACATTGGATTGCTTCAAGTCGAGATCGAAACTCGACCGATTTGACATCAGTTTTTAATGCATTATATGCGTGATCTATACCCATGACGTGTGCTGCTACTGCTTCCTGATTACTGTTATGAATTTTCATGTGTCTCTTTAGGCCTCCCATTGAAGCGCACTCTTTTCCACAACGTCTACATATTTTCAAACCCTCCACAATGTAGTTAATAACGGTGTAGTTCATGTGATGTCGACTTTTGAGGTCTTCTTTATTTAGGCATTTTTTTGTCACATTGAAGACGTTAGATCACATTCAATGCTGACATACGCTGGAAATTCAACATTTTTTTTCTTTTCTGAGATCCCTTTTCAAATTCTGATGCTTCTCCCTCTGATCTTCAAATGCACTTGCACCTGCTTCCAATGGACGCCTCCAGATACCACGATCCAAAGCAGAATTCTCCAAATCCTCAAGTGCAATTTGTGCATTTGTCAGTGATTGCTTCAGGCAATCTTTGAACCTCATTTTAGGTTTGTGTATATACAGTGTGTTTCAAAAATATTTTACAAACTTTTGGGACAGCAAAACAAGGACAAAAGTCCATATAAACATATTTCGGAAATCCTTCATTTTTGAATTTAAAGAAAGTTTACGGTAGATAGTGCTGTATTGTCATGTAGACTAGGTTACATTTGTTTTTCATGTATATTGTAGCGAGTCTATCTTCAACGTTTAACTTGTGTAGTAATGAATTAAATGAGAAGTGTTCCATTTAACAGTGGCAGGATATTCATATCGTGAGCAAGCAGATATGACTTTTACATACGGCCGAGCGAATCGTAATGGATGCCAGGCTTCACAACTGTATCAGATTACGCTTCCAGACCAAAAGCAGCAGAGTAATCCAACCTTTGCTGTTGATTATCGTCGCATTACTGAGACAGGATCTGTGGCACCACAAACTATGGATCAAGGAGTTTGGGATTTCATCTTGATGTTGTAATGGAATGTCCCACACTCCCTATCGCCTATGTGGACTGACTATATATATATATATATATATATATATATATATATATATATATAATATAGGATATAAAGGATATACCTGGGGCTTGCTTCGCGAATTATTAGCCCGCCACCCGATTCCCTGTGTTTCAGTAGTGTATTCTCTTTTACAATAAACCTCTCTTTCATATACACGTGTGTTGCTGTTCCTTCACTCGAGTACCACATTGTCTATTTGTAACCTCTTTAAGGATACGACACTTGGATTGTACATTTGACAGCGTCTACCATAGACTTTAAACTTAATACATTAAAAACGAAGGATTTGTGGGCATATTTTTATATAGACTTCTGTCCTTGTTTTGGTGTGAGGAACCCACTCCAAAAGTTCGGAAATGTATATTTGATACCCCTCTCTCTCTCTCTCTCTCTCTCTCTCTCTCTCTCTCGCCCGACGATTGCGTCTAGCATGAAACAGCCTGTCGCCTCTGAGTGTTGACTTCTATGTTCACTTTTATATTTATATTTACATACGCTCTAGCTCTGACATTGAGCACTTTATCCCATAAATATAGCACACCTTAAAACTTTTCTTCATATATATATATATATATATATATACGATAGTCGGTCAATAGTAATGCCCATTAATTACATATATATATATATATATATATATATATATATATATATATATATATATATGAATCATATTTAAAAACATAATATATATATATATATATATATATATATATATATATATATATATTCTCTTTCCTCATTTACCTTTACTCGCTTTTATTCGTTTTGTTTCTTTTCTATACGTTCTGTGGTATCGCTGGGGAAATTTAAGTAAAGCACGAACGCACAGACGCTGTAATATTCAAACCGAGTGTCACGTGTAACCGCCGCGAGCCTCCTTGCATTGATCGGCTCTCAAATGTGTCTGTGTTTTGAACCTGTTCTCACTAATATATTTCCATTCTGACGGTGAATGAAGGCGAAAAAAATGCCAATGAATATAATTTTTTTTTTCTGCCTAAACTGAAAAATGAATAACATCAAGAAATAAAAGAAACAATGGCGCAAGAAAAAAAATAAATAAATAAAAAAATAAAAGGAAGATTTGAATTTCGGTGAAGAAATGAGTTAAAGGAGGAAAATTAGTCACGTGGTACATTTTTTTTCGTCTGACCTTCTTTCATAATATTTTCTTTCTTTCTTTCTTTCTTTCTTTCTTTCTTTCTTTCTTTCTTTCTTTGCTCCCTCCATTTCCTTTCCCGTGTTATGAATTTTTCCCCGTGTCTTCATTTTTTCCATTAAAGCGCATCATTACGTAATTCTAAGACTGTCCTCTTTTCATGTTCATTTTCCTTCGCCTTCTTTCTTTCTTTCTTTCTTTCTTTCTTTCTTTCTTTCTTTCTTTCTTTCTTCTTGCCTTCACTCTCTCCTCTTTCTTTCTTTCTTTCTTTCTTTCTTTCTTTCTTTCTTTTCTCTTTTCTTTCTTATCTTTCCTAGTGTTTCTTCCATCCTCTCTTCACTTTCTTCTCTCTTCTTTCCTCTTTCTTTCTTCTCTCTTTCTTTCTTCTCTCTTTTATTTACTTTCTTCTCTCTTCTCTTTCTTTTCTCTTCTCTTTCTTTTTTCTTCCCCCTTTCTGTTGTATTTCTAGATTTTTGTACATTTTTCTATTAGAGAACTATTTTTTTCTACATTTTCTTTTCTTTCACGTTCTAAATCATTTTTTAAAATGGTTCCCCCTTGCTTCCAACCACATTTTTCTTCTTCTTTTTTTCCGCTTTCTCTTCTCCTCCCTCCCTTTTCGTTCTGTTCTCTCCCCACTCTTTCACTTTTTTCTTCTCTTCCTTTATACCGATTTCCTTTTCCCTCCCTTCTCTGTCATCTTTCCTTTCGCTTTCCCGTCTCTCTTGCATTTTCTTCCCACTCTCTTACTTTTCTCTTGTTTTTCCTTCTCTCTCTTCCACCCTAAAATTACCACCTCATTATTTCCGACTTAAATCTTTTTTTTTTTCTATTTTCTTCATATTTTACTATAATTTCTCTATTTTTATTTTCTCTACATATCAAATGCGGCCAGACCGACTCAGTTCGATTACTGTCCGTCCAATCGATTCATTCAATTGAATTCTAAGGAAATCACGTGGCTCGAAAACTACATTCCATTATGATTTAAAAGTTGGCAACTATTACTTCTGCTTCTATGCTGCTTTAAAAATAAGATGACTTCGCAATTCGTACGAATTGTCGCAATTAGCCAAACCCTATTTTGTTCAAGTTGATCGACTTGTCATTACAGGTTTCAAATTTCAGACTTCCAATGCAGAAAATTGAGAGTTGAATTTAATTTTTTTTTTTTTTATTACGCCTTCTTTTTCTCATATTATTCTTTTTTTTTTTTTTTTCTCACCACCGTTTTTATTTTTTTTGCTTATTATTATCTGTGAGGGCTAATTTTATTTCTTGAACGTTCTTTTCACTCCCGATTTAATTATTAATTCGACTCTTTTAAGCTTACTTACTCGGTCGGCTTTGGCAAGAATTTGAAAGCCAGTTCGGTTCGCATCGATTGTTTCGTATTTATAACCTTCAATAATATTTCGCAATGATTTTCACATCTCAGAAACTTATTGGTGTTTTTTTATTTGTTTTGTAAACAAAACAAAACACAATTAAAACAGTAACACACGTTTAGAAAAAAAATAAAAATAGTTAATATGCTCATCACCGTAGTTATTTAAAATACTTAAAAATATTAGCTTCTGTCAATGGCCGCCATGTTGTGCCTTCACAACAAACTAAATGGCTTGATGGAGGTCTCTGCCTGATGAAGATGTTATCTACAAAATACAATATATTAAAAAAAAAAAGAAGCGATACTGAAATTTCGCTGCTTTTCCGCGACTTATTTTCATGTTGGCGGTCGTAACAATCCTGATGCCTTTATATATATATATATATATATATATATATATATATATATATATATATATATATATATATATGAAGAAAAATTTGGAAAAAACAAACAAAAAATCCTTAAAAGCAATTATGTTGTTTAAAATGAATGAAATGTCGACGTCTGACGTTTCGGTTTAATAAACCTTTTTCAAGACAATATTCATTAAAATACAATTCAGTTCAATTTGACAAAGACGATGGACATAAACAAGTCTTATCCAAAACAGATAACTGAAAATTTTTAAAATGATCAGCTTTCCGTTTAGCATGGTCACGTTGTCGTCACATGGGCGACGCTTTCAAAACGTATTCCTAAAAATTTATGATTATTTTGAATGAAAAAGAAAATGAAAAGAAATCTATTAGGATCTAAAATTTTTATGTGTATGCTTGTCGAGCATTATGAAGCAGGTATAATATCCATCTCACACACAGTGAATACTAGACCTGGTTTCTTTAATATTTCCCTTTTTTTAGCGAGATTAATATATATTCTTAATTAATTTATTAATTCTTCATATACATATTCTTAATTAATTCTTCATATATATATATATTCTTAATTAATTTATTAATTCTTCATATATATATATATATGCATATTCTTAATTAATTAATTAATTCTTCATTAATGAGTTTATTTTAGAGGCACCTTCCTTTACATCTGATGCCTGTAATTGCCAGAATTATAGAAGCCTTTCACACTAATCTCTACAGGATAAATTTCAAAATTAATAAAACAATGGAAGAAAGAAACATAAACTGTGCCCAAATCCTTCAATCAGGAAGTCAAGCGTAGAAATCAATAACATGGTTATTTGATTTTACGATATATCAACTCTTACTGTTTTTTTTGTTTTTTTTTTTTTTTTAATGTCAAAATCAGTTTTTTATTTTTTATTTTTATCATTCTTAGGTCTTTTAGAAAATATGTCATCCATTCGTCTTTCGATAAAGATGCGTTGCCTGTGGACAAATCTCTCGGTAAAGACGCGTTTACTTGGTAGATGGCCTAATTTGTACGAAGGAAATAAAGTGGGCGTATTTTAGACACTGAGGAGAAAAAAAAGAATGTCATAAGGGAGGGGCAGTCAATCAACACGCAACGAATGTGTACCTCCTCCTGACCCTAAGAGTTCACTGGAAGGTTACTCTTCATTATGTGGGTCAAAAGAAGACGGTCTCAGGAACTCTCAGGCGCAAGCATTGTATATGACGTGTATAGAATGCAAAATACATCCTCCAAACAAAACGCAACAGACACCTGCCAGTCAGTCAGTTAAGTGCCATCAGTGATACACGCTTGGGCGATCATGTATCTTTCGATACATGACTGACGAGGCAGATTTTTCTACAGTAGGTTGCTATTTCTTTTTGCGGTAGACTGGTTGCCAACCAAGGCTAAAGAACCCAGTCCGTCTATTCAACACATAGCTGGGAGGAAGAGGGAAAAAAGAGATGGATTCACACTTTTCCCAAGGTTATTTGTGCGTAAGTGACTCTAACAAACTTGATTGGAAATCGAACTCGGCTCTCCGAATTCTCACTCCGAATCGATACCCACATCACAACGCACATCCTAAGTGTAAAATAGCTATTAAAAAAAATAATAATAAAAATAATAATCCGAGTAATTAGTTCGAGACTATTAAATTATAACAGGTTTTCTTTCTTTCTTTTTTAATCATTTTATATTCCAAGGTAGACGATAAAAGCCACTAAGAAGCAAAGGGTGACTGAGAGTAAAAGAAGCAGATACGACAATAAAAGAAGATGATTCAAGGAGACAGAAGCTGGCGTTTAAGTGCTTTTAAATCTTTTATGATCGTAGTTGACAAAAAATCAAAAAGCCGTAAGAGTTCTACAAGCGTGTAGTGTGGGAGAAAAAACTTTTTAGCGTAGAACTTACGGTTACAACTAGTAATTTGGAAAATGAAATTATGAGACCAGACGCTATTAGTTTAGGACTGCGCTTAAATTCGAAAAATCGAGATACAATGAAAATATTTACAAAAAAGGCAGAGGGAAGCTACATGACGACGGAGGGAAATCGACTGAAGCCGAGATGCCAGGTCACGGCTGATAACATTACAGATTCTTCTTTGGATTTTGTGAAAAATCTCTAGATACATAACAGAAGCACCAGAGGACACTTCGACATGGTATAATGATTAGCAAGCTTGTCTCGATAGATTAATTACAACTAAATAATGAGTTCGATCCTCACTGGGTGCTCCACATTTTCGGCCTTGTGCCACATCTAAGCTACGCTTAGAATATCACCATAGAAGATGTGACAACAATATTCAATGCAGGAATGAACGGTAGACTTATAAAAGTTCATGATAGATTCTGATAAGAAGACTTGTCTAGCACGGCACAAAGAACCAACTTTCTCAGTAATTAATTCATGAAAATATTCTTGATTGTAATTAATGTCGAAATTCTAACATTAAATATAAAATAAAATATTAAAGCCTGTCTATATTTCTGAGATGAGGTATTATGTACATTATTTACATTATTCAGACTATTGTCCTTATCTTTGTCGCCATATTTATCACAACGTTTCGACCGTTGTACGCTCCAGCCTTCAGGTGGTTGGAATGTCGAACTGAACCCTTTATTTCGCTCACTGGGGTAGACTGTTCTAGTTCCACGTTTGATGGATGTCAGTTATCAGTTATATCCTGTTAATTTCCCTCTGAAAGTTTTGAACTCACACTTTGGGTCCTGTCACTAGATCTAACCAACGCTTTTATCCACTGTGCCATGTGTCCTTGAGGACATTTGGGTATGAATTTCTAGGTATTATAAACCTAATGTCATCAGCAACCATTTTTACCAGTGTTCATATTGCAATTTTTGCTGTTATCATTGCATGTTTTTACCAGAGCTCATATTGCAACTATGTTGTTATCATTGCTTTTCTCTGGCACTCCTTATTACTGATTCCCATATTGTATTTATTTCTATGCTTGGTCGGCTCAGGAGATTTTTGTGGCCTAACATGTGTGCTGATTCCTTAAGTTTACGAATTTTCCAATGGTGTTCCTTGTCAATGATCTCAACATGATCCCACAGAGGGCGGTGATCTCCCTTCTCTCTCCATATGTGGTCAGCCACGCCTGGTTTTTCTACTTCCCCTTGTGTTACAGCTTTCTGGTGTTCTTGAAGCCTTAACTTAAGGGGGCGGCCTGTCTCTCCTTTATATTCCTTTCCGCAGCTGCACGGGATAGCATACACACAGTCTTTAGTCATGTTCTCCTGTATGGGGATCTTACTTGGTAGAGATATCTGCGAAGTGTCGTCAAGCTTTTGAAGGTTGTCCTGATGTTATATGGACCGCAGATCCTTTGTATTTTCTCTGATAACCCCTTCACATAAGGCAGGCAGACTGTTTTCTGAGTGTTGTTGTCCTCCTCCTCTTGTACCCGCCTATCCCAGTTTTTTTGGGCTACTGCCATGTACCCAGGGTAGTTGTTACGTTATAGGGTACTCTTTATACTGACCAATTCTTTATCTAACGTCTCTGGATCGCCACTTATGACTTTTGCTCGGTGTTGTAAGCAATGGACGATCCCTTTCTTTACACTGTATGGATGGTGGGAATTGAAATTGAGGTACAGTGCGGTGAATGTCGGTTTACGGAATATAGATGTCTTAAACCCATGCTCTGTTCGAGATATTAGAACATCCAGGAATGGGAGTGTGTTGTTACTCTCTTCTCTATTGTGAAATGTATCGAAGGTCTTATTGAGTTCACATGGTCCAATGGGACCTGAACATCTTCCTGATGTGGCCAGAGTATGAAGGTGTCATCTACGTACCGTAACCATATTGTTGGCTTTAGAGATATAGATTCTAATGCCATTTCCTCAAAGTATTCCTTGTATATATTCGCCATTGCTGGTGATAATGGCGAGCCCATTGCTAATTCCTCATCCTGTTGATATATGTGTGATCCCATTCCGAAGTGTGTTGTTTTGTACAGAAAGTCAACATCTCCAT